AATGGTGGAAGCAATACGTTTTTGGGATCAACTAGTGGTTCATGAGCAATTTTTTTGAGGCCCGGAGTTAATAACTGACGTAGTGGCCACTCCTGTACATAATGACAATCTCGCGCACGACTGTGCCATTCCCAAAGAAAACAACAATATTTAGCATATCCCAGTTCCATTCCAATAAGAATTTTTAAATTACCTTTAAATCTGCACATATGGCACATCCATATTCATTATAACGGATATGCTCTACTCTAACATAACTCGCATATTTTCATACGATTCCTTCATATGAACTGCGTGCGCTATAGGTACAGACGGATATTTATTACCGTTGAGTACCAATACCGCTTTTAAACTAAGCTTAGAGGAATCAGTGAATAGGCGCCAATCATTTGGATCATGTTTCTGTCCAAACGCGTCAAACAAATTGTTGACATTGGAGCAATATATCAACTCCCTTTCTTGACGGAAACAGTGTGTGAGGTCTTGTTGCCATTTTCGGTAAAAAGTAATGTTAAGATCACCGTGGAGAAGATTCCATCCTTTTAATCTTGACGCTAAAAGTTCTGACTGGGATTTTGACAGATTTAATTCTCGAACGAAGTCATTAAGTTCGCCCTGTGTGAGCAAATGAGGCGCTGTTGAACATCCTGGCAGGTCAAACGAAGGATCGGAAATTTTACTATATACTTTCAGTATCAGTGGATTCGACTTTTTCATCCAAAGACCAAGATTCTGGTGGAACTAGGACAGAAAGTTCAAAAGTTCATCAGTATGCTTAACGAGTCGCAAAGCTGACGGTAAATTAAAATGTTTAACAGTATGTTTCGATTTTGGTCCAATACCTTTAGTTTTTGTGAGGCAAAAATAGCAATCTGTAGTATGGTCTCTCGGTTCTCTCCAAACCATTGGTACCGCAAAGGGCATTTTACGATTGTCGCGTCTTAACCAACGTATATATTAACACAAGTCTTACAACATATATGAGGGGCCCAAGTTTATCTTGATCGCCAGCTTTAATTCTAAAATAAAGTTCGTATGCTTTCAACACAAGGGGAGTAAAAGTACGTTTTTTGGGATTTCAAAGCTAGCTTTCCGCACACAACAAAAACTGTTCGCACTAGTCTCGATCACAATAAACTAAAAATAACACACCGTTTTAACAAAAGGAACAGTACTCAGAACATCTCAGTACTCTTTAACACAGAACACGTAAGTGACTCGGCTGCTATTATTCTACTAATAAACGCAATATGCTCTCTAAACATAGAGCTCGCATATAATAAACAGGAATAGACAGGTCTTAGCATTATATACATATGTGCGTCATCGCACAAACGCTGAGAAATGCAGCAATATGAGATGTTACGTATTGTAATTCAAAGTAGATGTTACCGAATATCTATGGGTAATAGAAAAATTCTGTTTTTAGATTTGCTTTAAGGGTCGCAAAATACATCAGATTCACCCAAAAATTGTCATGTCACAAATCCTGTGTTTATCAGTGATAATCAGAGGTTATCTGATTCATTTACAAAACGCTTCTTACTTAAAAAACTACCTTCGTACTCTCTTCCACCTGCTACAATCCCCAACCCCTAATTTTTTATCTCTACAAAGAAATTTCTGAGACGATTCTGAAAGCTTCTGAAAGAGAAAAAACAAAACTTGAACGACTTTAATACTATTCATTTTTTTCTCCTAGCTCTGCCCCCACTGTACCGGTTTTCGAAAACTACAAAGCTGTTTTGTCCTTGTGTAGTAATAACCATCTATGAAAACTTCACGAAAGTCTATATAAGGTCTATCGAAGTAACATAGCTCACAGCGTCATCCATTACCAAATAGTTGCTTTGCTTTCGCCTATACCATGCTGATGAGTTGACAAAGAGCACAAAACAACTGTATACGATTTATATGTATAGCTAATGGATTCACGTCGAAACCGGGTTGCGAGTTGCTTTTGATGAGATCCCTACCTTAGTGTTACGATTTTGCTTGGCCGTTAGAAAATCAATAAAGAAGATTAGGCCAGTTGCATAGCCATAGCCCTATAAAATTTGCATAGTATCTCGAAAACTATTTTTGTCGCATGCGTGTACAACCCGACATTCACATTCATGAACTTCATTATTTTTCCATACAAATAACTTTTCGGACCCTGGAATCTCTCTACTTATTTTTCGTCGAGATTTTCATTTGCATTACCAGATCCTTCACGGGCGGACAAATTTATTATGGAGAAAATATAACCCTGCATTCGTTGACGGAGGTTACCGATATTCAGGGTGTACCAAGTTAACCCTGTCGAACTTCGTACATTCTGAACTAACCGCTCCTTTGTCTGTGAAACAATCTGCCTGAGGAGACAAAAATCGTATTAACGATCTGTCTAGCCTCTTTATGGCAGCTGCTTTGCCCCGGTATTTAGGCTTCGGTATAGAAAAACTAAACGCTATAAATTTACACCACTAACGTACAAATACTATTTGGGTATACAGAGCATAATCTATGATAAATACCACCAACTTCAAGGCTTTTTGCCCTTTCCGGGAGCCGTCAGACTAAAGTCCCCGATGGCTCTGCAGCCTCTAGAGCTTATTGTGCCTTGCTCCTTGAGCTTACAGTACCCAATCATGAAGCCAAGTATTCTGAACCAGTTGGTACAGTTTGCCTACAGGTACTTTTCTAAACTCTGTCGGTTCAAGTTTTGGTTTCCCGAAGAGCTGATGTTTTTTGTGGTCCATTCCTCGCACTCATATAAGACATGTAAGACTGATTCTGTTCCTTGTCCGCATTTTCTGCAGCTAAGGTCTCCATCGTTCAGCCCTATTTTGCTCTGGTGTTCTTTCAGGCCATTGTGTCCTATTAGATGTCATGTGACTCTCGTTAAGTTGGTTTCTGCTCATTGAGAGCAGTTTTGCAATATTGTTTGGACATGGTCCCGAGATGAATTATTTCCCATGCCTACATCCAGTCGCTAAGTGCTTACCCATTCTTTGACCTGGTTCATTATTGTGCTTTTTGGCACCCCCAAGGCAGGTTGTGATCCTGGATAGGGTGTGGATGATCCTTTCTTTGGGAGCTCATCCGCTCCTTCATGTCCCGCGTTACCTGAGTGTCCTGGTACCCACATCAGAGTTACTCTGTTGTGTTCCGCCAGAGTGTTCAGTTCTTGTTGGCATTCCCAGATCAGTGCAGATGTCACTCTAGGACTTCTTATCGCTATGAGTGACGGCTGACTTTCAATGTATATGGCGATCCCGTTATTGTTATACGCTTGCTCATTATTTACTCTTGCACAGTGCAAAATTGCATACAGTTCTGCCTGAAATACCGAGGTATGGCTTCCAAGCGGAATACTATGCCCAGGATTGCACCTGTTCCCATATACAGGGTGTTCCTTAATGATATGCGAATATTTAAGGGTGTGAATCTACATAAAAAATGTTAGTTTGCTTTATAAACTATGGTCCAAAAATGTTTCCTTACAAAAACTCGGGGTGTTGAAGTTTAAGGAAAAAAATGGAAATTAATTAATATTTTCAGATCCGCTTCAGATATTTCACTGATATTTAGTACGTAGTGGAAGTTAATAAAGTTGCATATTTTTCAATCCAAAAATATTTTTTATCCTTAACAGTGGCGTGCGTACAGGTATTGAGTTCGATATTTTTTAAGAAAAAAATGGTACGCCAATGATTTTTTGGCAAATAAAAATTATTTTTGAATTCCTCGAATTTAATACAAATGATCTCTCTTGAATTGTTTTCCTTCGATGCGCCATGTTTGAATAAAAACCGTTCTATTGTCTAACTTGCAAAATTATTATTAATTTAATTGGAAAAGTTAAACAGATTAGGGATAATGAACAACAACAACAACTGACATCATAAACATGACATTAAAACCAATGAAATGATTACAAAAATTGTTGAAAATGGCGGATTCTGTGTAATTTTTTGAAGATACCACTGACAAAAGGTCACACGCCTTGAAAAATCAATGGGAAGTAATGCCTGTACTCTTAAAATATGGTAAGGATATAACGAGAAATCCAATAAAATTCTCTGTGTCTGTGTCTAGCGATATTCCTCGTACCCGTTTCAGGATGTTCTTCGACATCGTGCAGCATGGCTTCCACAATTTCAGGTGTTCTCACACTTAGAGGTCTACCTTCAGATGTTCCTTTTCGGACAGAACCAGTTTCAACAAGACGACGATGCATATTAGAAAAGGTTTGACTATCTGGCAAAGCACGATCGGGATATCTCTGGTGATAAATTCGTCTGGCTTGCTCACCATTACCGTCGGCAAGCCCATATACGTAATGCATTTCCGCCGTAATGCATTTGAATAATTTACCATTATTAACAAGATTGTAAAAAATAATGTAAAAGATGACACAGCGAACAGATTTGAATAACAGAGACTTGTCAGATGTCAAAAGCCAGTGAGATATTCCAGAGCAACTAGATATTTATTGCTAAATTGCATTCTTCAATTATTACATTAATTTTCTCGGACAATAGAACGGTCTTTATTTTTTTAATCAGAAATGGCGCATCGAAAGAAAACAATTCAAGAGAAACCATTTGTTTTAAATTGAACGGGGAATTCAAAAATAATTTTTATTTGGCAAGAAATCATTGGCGTACCATTTTTTTCTTCAAAAATATCGAAGTCAATACCCGTACGCACGCCACTGTTAAAGCTAAAAATTATTTTTGCATTGAAACATATGTAACTTTATTAACTTTCACTACGTACTAAATATCAGTGAAATATCTGAAGCGGTTCTGAAAATATTAATTAATTTCCATTTTTTTCCTAAAACTTCAACACCCCGAGTTTTTGTAAGGAAACATTTTTGGACCATAGTTTATAAAGCAAAGTAACATTGATTTTTCATGTAGATTCACACCCTTAAATATTCGCATATCATTAAGCAACACCCTTTATACCTGCACCTGTTCCTCAATTTTTGATCCGTCAGTGTAACAGGTAATTTCCCCTTGCAGGTTGTGTCACTAAGGCCTCTTCCATAACAGTGTTGAATTTCAATCTTTCTTTTAGCACGCGGTCTATCCACCTGCATGTTGTTTTATCGAGGCCATTTCTTCTCGTTGCGCTGGAGATTGAGTCCAGGGTCCAAGGTACTTCATTTGGATTTTTCTTCATTCAAATCCTCGATAGACAATTTACACGAAACTAAGCAAGCTACTCAAAAATACAACAGATGATTCGAAAAGGTTAGTGGCATAATTATAATATGTTATATTGGTGGAAATGCTAATCAAAAAAGCATATTTTATGTTATTATGAATGTAAACATATATGACATATTTGATATGTTTATTTTTGGAAACATTAAAAAACTGCCCCAGAGAAGAGTTATATTGATTGAGTGCTGTATTACGTGTATGTGACATCTCATAATCTTTATGTGTCGTTTTTAATATTCTTTCTGAATCACGCCTTGATGTGCTTTCTGAAGGTCTCCACAAATATCCTCCTCTTCTCTTTCTTTTACATATAAAGATGAAAAGGAACACACAGAAACACTGTCGGCGTCTTATATAAGTATGTGCATCATTGACTCACTTATACGGGCTATTGTCCTAAAAAGTCCTAATTATAGAGGTAAATGTCTTAAAACTAAAAAATAAAATCCCAGTCAAAGAGGTTTGAAGATTGCTAGTAATGGAGGAATTGAAATTCAAAAGTGTACACCTCCTTGTAATCGTCATCAGTAGACGTTTCTCACACACTCAGGGCCATTGATTCACATATCACACCTGAAGATACCCGATTAAGGGGGATTGTATAGATACGACTGATAACGTTGATTATAAAACAATTGAATTCAATGCTTACCTTTTTGTTTTGTTGCTTAATCGTGTGATACTCCGCTTAAGGGCATAATAGTTATATAGACATTAGGACCTGCCCAATGGATTATAATATATTTCATAATATGCAACCATTTCATGACATGATCGATATTTCATGAAATGGACGTTTCACGCGACACGCACTAAAAGTTAGACAACATTTTTCACATTTTCTGTCTGACTAGAAGTGGCAAAATATTCAGCAATAGAATCTGCGATGAATTTACCATATTGTTCTCATCTAGGAATCACTAGTCAGTTTATTTTGATTTCTTAGTATGAATATTTTGTGAAAATAGGCGACAAAAAAGGAAACTTGAATTAACTGTTATGATCATTCGCATCATTCTCTGACGAGAAAAGAAAAACTGAACCTCTGTGAAATGTCTTGTCTAAATGATAGTAAATACCTCGAAATGAAACAAACAGAAGCATTCTACATTGAAATAAAAGCTAGTTATCGGCAAAAAGCATATATGTTACGAACTGACCTAAAAATGTCACGGACTGACTTCTGTGGCAGTCGGTTTGTCCGTGGGATGGTTATCTTTTTATTTGAATCGTGGTTATATCATTCGAAGACAATGAAAACATAAAACGAGCATAGATGTTTTGAGTATTTTGTAACTGGTTGGGGTGTGGTATTTATAATTTATAAGAAAAAAAGTGTGAAATGTTTCTGGGAGTCTCGCAAAATATGACTGGTAACTTGACGCTTTGCACCCGTTTTAGCCAAGTTTGTTGCACAAATTTTAGTTAACCTTATGATCCAGAGCTCAATCATCTACATGACTCCAAATATACCATCGACTTCAAAACGAGGGTAGACCCAGCAAGTCACTCATAAAACTACAATCGACTCGTTGATGACATAAACAAAGCACAAAATGGAGGTGAGGGGCTATGAGGGAATGAGTGCGGATTAATAAAATGGCCACCGCATGAGAATTCAGGCTGTCAAACATAACGTCACTGAAAACTCTATATATAATCATTGGTACAATTACACATAGGCGTAGCATACAATACGTATAAGGGTAACAAAATAAGCGTATTGAAATTAAGGATGCTGCATCGTTGATAAAAAAACATCGATGCTGGAAATCAATGTTTTTGAAAGTGTAACATCGTTGTTTATGAACGATATATCGATATTTTTCTAGACTACCGGGCACTGCTTTGAAACACGGAAAAACGTGTTTTCTCAATCATCAATATTTTTTATACATCAATAACGTTTATATTGACTGATATAAATTGTATTCTAGCTAGAAATTTGGAGTAAAAAACATTAAATACATATTAATCATATTATATATCATGTAATGACAAAAACGTTAATTGGACTCATAACACAGTGTAAAAATAATAATTTTGACAACCTGGAGCAAAGTAAGCGATTCCTCTCTTGAGATATAATAGCTCCAGCTTCAGAGAATAACCGCTCACTGGGCACCGAGGTTACTACAATAAATAGATGTCGTTGAAAAAACATCGTTCATAAAACATCGTTCTTGATCGTCTGAATCGCTAATTGAAATCGGTAATATAACAAAAAAAACGGTACGATGTCTTCAGTTTATAAAGGATTACGCTCCTCAAGTCAAACGTCAGAACAAAAATTAAGCGATTTTTGTTTCATTATTCGTTTTTTGGCCGTTAACTTCATTGCCACTGTGCTGATTTTCAAAGAGTACAAATCTTGCCATAGTAGCAACTTTGTGTGAAGTTATAGACGAGCCAAGGAATAGAGGACAGACCGGCAGAAAGACAGGCTGAAGGTAATGGATGAAATCATTTTTTTAATATACCTTTATAGTCGCTCTAAAATGGTTAATTATCGAATAAACTTCATATCTCAATCAAATAAAAGCCGCAACGAAATTCACTGTCAAAACAGCTTTGGCAATTGACACAAAATAGTAACTTAAATAAATGCTACCAATCCACTATTTTCTTACGGTGTGAATAAAATTTGATTGAACAGATAAAAGCAACGTTCCCAGGTCATCGAGGCGATTATGGTGTAATTTATGTATGGTTCTTATTTGTTCAACTATTTTGATATCAATCAATGTATAGAACAACCACAAGCAAATCCGTTGTTTTGCTGCCGCATTTTGCGGCGAGGCAACATGTCGATTTGCTTTGTATATGTCGTCAATAACCAGAAATGTAAACAAAGGGGTCTATTTTCATTTTAAGGTCCATAAGATATACTCCTTATGTAGCCTAGATGCAGTACAATGCTGGCGAAGTTGATGCGCCTACTTCGCTGCTTTGTATGTGTATACCATGTTTTGGAAAAATATGAAAATTAGTATATTTGAATAAAGTTATAGTTAATTATCCTTACTGATATACAAAATGACAAAATTTTTGTGTAACTGAAGTACCTAAGCAACCTGGATCCAGTTAATCATATCTTAAGTGTCAGTTTGTGCCATTCGCAGAAAATGCGCAGGCACCCATTTGCGGTCTTAATCCACTTGAATTAAGCTGTATCTCATCTCAGATATAATAATTGGCCTAATATGTATGTAGTTGGTTCAAACGGCAGCTCTCAGTTCGAAATATTAACTTACAGCTAGTTGCAGCTAACACTAGCAACCAAATCTATCGCGCTTCCTAGGTCATTATAAGCCAAGACATGAAATTCTATTTTTGAGGCTGCCTGGGCAAAGACACTGGATGTGTTGCGTATGAATATATATATATATATATATATATATATATATATATATATATATATATATAACAAAGTGAAGACCGTACAAGATATATAGTTGTTGACCGTTTCAGTAGGTTTAATAATTACCAGATACATTTCGTAAGCATTTGTGGAATGTGGTCGATGTAAGAGAGAGGAATACCTCAACATGCAATAATAAAATGCATGTTGTGAACTTTGTGTGTGATTTTTTTTCCTCTCCATCTTCGTTTCCTCAGGTTACACCCGTAGCCGGATGTATGGGCATGTGTATCTACTTTTGTAGTTACATATTATGTGCATTCATTTCGAGCCTGATGAAGCCAGCCAGCAGAAATACGTATCACTCGGGTTACCTATCCTATTTTCTGCTCGAATCCGCTTTTCTTCTTTTTGCGGATTTTGCCCATTATTTTCCTATTTTTTGTTATATACCTTACTCCGCATGATCATTTTCTCTTTGTAGATCCTTTGGGCTTGAAGTACCACAACAAGTGGCTATAACCAGCCGCGTGGTTGTGGTTAGATGTCCCCTTGAAAAATCGAGGTCTTCTAGCCATTTTATACTACAATGTGTAGGTTGACTCTTGTTGTGGACTTCGTGTGTGATCTTTTTTCCTCTCCCTCTTTGTTTCCTCAGGTTATACCCGTATCCAGATGTATGGGCATGTGTATCTACTTTTGTAGTTACATATGTGCATTCATTTCGAGCCTGATGAAGCCAACCAGCAGAAATACGTATCACTCGGGTTACCTATCCTATTTTCTGCTCGAATCCACTTTCCTTCTTTTTGCGGATTTTGCTCATTATTTTCCTATGTTTTAGTTATATACCTTTCTCCGCATGATCATTTTCTCTCTCTCTCTCTCTATATATATATATATATATATATATATATATATATATGTATATATACAGGGTGACTTCGAAGTTGAGTCATTTATTTTAACAGTGTGTAGATCTGATCAAAAGAAATGTTTTTTTCCTTTACCATTTTTCTGGTAAAATTAAAGTAACAAAGTTATAGCCCTTTGGAAGTTTGAGTACCGCCCTGTCTCAATAATATCATGTGTTCGTGTTTGGCAACAACGGTTCATCGCATCGGAAACAAAAAAGCGAAAGAATTTGGAACGATGTTTTTACGATTACAATTCAGTTCAGTTATACATACAGTCAGTTTCAGTCGCGTGTGAATAGTGTCTGTTGCGTGGCTCAAACGAAATAAAAAATGGCACATGTTTACGCGGATCGGTTTCCCAATCGAGTGCAACCAACCCCTCGTGCCTTTGTTAATGTAGTACAACGGGCTCGTGAATCAGGTGACTTAAGACCTCACAGGGGACCTCACGATCAAATACAGGTCCGCACTGAAATACTTGTCGGGAGGATACTTTATAAAACAAGGTCAAATATTTTTTTTTTGTATTTTTACACACATATTTTGGTTTATCTTCCTTCTACAATCATTCTCTGAAAATTAATGACTCAACTTCAAAGTCACCCTGTATATGTATATATATCCACTTTCCTCCTGTTTGCGGATTTTGATCATTATTTTCCTACTTTTATTGATATATATATATATATATATATATATATATATATATATACAGGAGGAAAGTGGATTCGAGCAGAAAATAGGATAGGTAACCGGAGCGATTCCCCCTGTTTGCGGATTTTGCCCATTATTTTCCTACTTTTTGTTATATACCTTTCTCCGCATGATCATTTTCTATCTCTCTCTCTCTCTATATATATATATATATATATATGGTGCGCCATCTTTTTATGTCGGTATGTAAACATGAAATAACTTTGAAAATGAAAAACTGGTTTCTATATGTCGGATATTTTTATTAAATATGGTAATTTACAATTTATTGGGACTAGTTTCTGAACACAATATCTGACAAGTGGCCCCCTTTATTGGCCAAAACAGAATATGCCCGTTTTGCTGCGTTTTCCATTACTTTTTCGAACATCTCTGGTGGTATAACGGCGATTGCGGTACGAATGTTGGCCTTGAGTTCTTCAGTGGTCTAGGGCTTGCTGGCGTATACTTGACTTTTAAAATAACCACACAAGAAAAAGTCCGGTGGGGTCAATTCTGAAGACCTGGGTGGCCAGTCAATGTCACCTCTTTTTGACATTAGGTGTCCAGGGAATTTTCGTTGCAGAAACTGGATTGTTACGTTTGCCGTGCAGCATGCCGCACCGTCTTGTTGAAACCAGTACCCATCAAGACCTTTTTCACGCATTTGTAGGCAGACATAATGAGCCAACATCCACCGATATCGATTTCCATCGACAGTTTCGTTTTCGTTGAAGAAAAATGGCCCAACGATGGTTTTGGCGCAAACGCCGGCCCAAACAATCACTTTCCGGTCATGCAACGGCATTTCGTGGATCTCTTGTAGATTCTCCGACCCCAAATGCTTATTAACGCCGCCAGAGAGGGTGCAATGGGCTTCGTCGGTCATCACAATTTGCTTCCAAAAATCAAGTTCAGCATCAACCATGCGAGCGACTGTTTCTACGTATTCCAAGCGACGTGGACGGTCAGTTGGCAATATTTTTTGTGATAACTGCACCTTATAAGGAAACAAATCGTCGATGATACAAGAAAAAATCGTAACTCCGTTTCTAAGAATTTTAGAGGAAAGCGTGAAAACAAATTGAGTTATGCATTATATTGTTTTAGGAATAATAGCATCATTGTGATAAATGTAATATTATAGTTTAGTTGAGCAGTTTCTGAATGATGCTTAAAGAAAGCTGAAATTTTCAAGACAAAAATGGAAAATAGGTAAAATCGGGAATTACGTGTTTTTCCTATTGTAAACGCCAGATAAAGTAGAGTTACGTGGTTTTCTTGTGTTAACAACAAAATGCAAATCATCCTTCAAAATGCGCCGCAACGTGGTTCCACTGATGCCAAAATGCTGAGCGCGGAGACGATACGACACTTTTGGGTTCTGGGCAACGCTGTCCCTGACCGCTTCAATTCACTGGAACGCCTTGGTCGTTGATCAACGGTATGTTGTCGATCTCCCACTATCCCGTACTCAAGAAAATTCGAAACCAAACGACGGATAGTGTTGTCAGATGGGTGCCTGTTTGCCACGTTATTTTTGACGACATGCACGTTGCGTTAACATAACTAAACGACGATTTTCAATGTACATTGTGACTATTTCGGCGCGTTGTTCCGGTGTAAAGCGATTCATGACTAAAATTGTAGTAAATTGACGTTTCAAAAACACGTATAACCAAATCACTCGGTTGGTAAATATCGAAGTCATTCGATGTTTCAATACCGACATAAAAGATGGCTCACCCGGTATACTTCAAAGTTGAGTCATTTATTTTAACAGTGAGTAGATCTGATCAAAAGAAATGTTTTTTTCCTTTACCATTTTTCTGGTAAAATTAAAGTAACAAAGTTATAGCCCTTTGGAAGTTTGAGTACCGCCCTGTCTCAATAATAATATTATGTGCTCGTGTTTGGCAACAACGGATATAATCCGTCTTATCGGTTCATCGCATCGGAAACAAAAAAGCGAAAGAATTTGGAACGATGTTTTTACAATTATTTTATTCAGTTGTATACAGTCAGTGTCAGTCGGTAACGCGTGAGTGAATAGTGGTGTCTGTTGCGTGGCTCTAACGAAATAAAAAATGGCACACGTTTATGTGGATCGGTTTCCCAATCGAGTGCAACCAACCCCTCGTGCCTTTGTTAATGTAGTACAACGGGCTCGGAAATCAGGTGACTTAAGACCTCACAGGGGACGGCATGCCGGTGCTCCAAGACCTCACGATCAAATACAGGTCCGCACTGAAATACTTGTCGGGAGGATACTTTATAAAACAAGGTAAAATTTTTTTTGTTATTTTTTTTTTTATTTTTACACACATATTTTGGTTTCTTCTTCCTTCTTCCTTCTACAATCATTATCTGAAATTTAATGACTCAACTTCAAAGTCACCCTGTATATATACTCAATCATTATAGAGTAAATTACCGACACAAATAATACGTGAGTTTCTGACTATCACTTTAACATTACCTTGGAATTGATCAAAAGTCAGAGTAGTCTATTTTATACTATCGGGAGGCTTGAAGTGCTACATGTCTGAACTTTTGTGTTGTCTTTTCTGTGCATTATACCGACCTGCCCTTCAACCTTCTAGCGCAAAATGAGAATTTTCCATATTTAATACTGGGTAGTGCTGCTTGATCCGTGTAACCACCCTTCCATCTACTGTTACTACCGTAATCTAAAAATATCGTCAAAGATCGCCAGCAAATCCGTCAGGGTTACATCCGGCAAAATTTCACCCTCCCATTTATAGCGAGACAACCCTGACCTTCGCTGGCGCTTGGTCTCGTTCTCGTCCCCTATTCAGGCCGGCGAGCGGCAGCAGCGTTAAAGCGTCATGCCGCTCACCGGCATTAAATGTGTGCCACCCAGTCATAACTCATGAGGCGTTCTCTTCGTTTTGCAGGAAATCGCCGCTATCCTTATCAGCTTCGATCGGCACGCTGAATGGCAGAGCAAAGAGGTCAAGATCAGGTACGTACGATGCTTCACAGGTTGTTCGAGTGCTTGATGCTCTCATAAGCTGATGATTTTTAGTCATGGTAAATGTGCAAGATATACTACGTGACAGAAAAAATAAGTCCCAGATTAATGATTCAATTGTCAAGATTTTCTAGGTATATGTTTGTTTAGGTTAGAACAGAGAACGATCAGCTTTTCAACCATATCGATAAAGTGGTTTTTGTGATATAGTCTGTTCTTACAAAAAAAGTAAGTAAGCGATGATTGTGTACTGTGTCTCCAATTGGCATTTAATCATCGTACAATAGGTTGTGAAGAGCTGCTTCAATCTGTGATCATTATGCCTAGAGTGCCAAGACGGGAAAATTTGCAACAGCTTAGCGAATTTGATAGGGGACAAATAGTGAGCTTTCGTTGATCCTTTAGAGAAATAGCCACCAGGGTGCACAGAAGTCTAAATAGGGTGGTCGTTTGTTGTCAAGCATGGAATCAGGAAGGCCGCACATTAATAGTTGGAGGTTCAACCCGTATCAGAAAAACGACCCCACACCAAAATCGCCACCTTAGGCTTCTGATTCTACGGGACCGCCTCTCGTCTGCAAGGTCAATTATGGACCCAATTCTCTGGACCAACAGTTTTGGACTGACTTCATACCGTCCTCACTTTGTCCTACCTCTCACTCCGAAGTGATCGAAGAGATTGGTGCAGGGAACGGCTAAACTGTGACGTCGAATGGAGAAGGTAAAAGACAAGATTACACTGGACAACAAATTTTAGTTTTTTAATTGTATCTTGTGGGAAAAGTGCACTTTTTTGTTAATTTTGGGGCGCTGAATCCAAAAATGACAATGAAATAAAAAAATGAGTTGCGGTTTAGAAAAAAAACTTTTTATTTTTAAGGATATATTAAAAAAAGTAACAAGATTCATATACTTATAAGAATCACTATATGCGCTGTCTTTTTGCTGTTCTTTTATGGATCGTTTCTGGAGCATCTCTACCAAGAGTCCAACAGTAGTCTGGAAGCATGGAAGGATTCCACTTTCCCTGGTACCTTTTTTCCATTGTTGAAATATTCTGATGAAAACGTTCGCCGTGCTCATCACTTACGGCTCCGCAATTGTCAGGAAAAAAGTCCAGGTGTGAGTGTAGGAAATGTATCTTAAGAGACATATTACAGCCCATCTTTTGATACGATGACAGCATATTTTTGACAAGGGTTTTATAGTTGTCAGCTTTTCTATTTTCCAAGAAATTAGTGACCACCAGACGGAAATCATTCCAAGCAGTTTTTTCAATACCTGTTAAAGTGTTTTCAAACTGTGTATCTTTCAAAATATTTCGAATCTGTGGCCCAACAAAAATACCTTCTTTAACCTTTGCCTCACTTAGTCTTGGAAATTTCTGACTCAGGTATTGAAAAGCTGACCCATCTCTATCTAATGCCTTGACAAAGTTTTTCATTAGGCCCAACTTGATATGTAGTGGTGGTAATAAAATTTTGTTCGAATCTACTAATGGCATATGCTGTACATTTTTTTGACCTGACTCTAGGAATTGACGAACAGGCCAGTTTTGTCTGGTGTAATGAAGTGCATTTGCCCGACCGTCCCATTCACACAAAAAACAGCAAAACTTTGTGTAGCCTAGCTGCAGCCCAAGTAAAAGTGCAACAACTTTCAAATCGCCACAAATATGCCATTGGTGCTCATCGTATTTTATGCATGTCAATAGGTACTTCATATTGTCATATGATTCTTTCAGGTGAACTGCATACCCTACAGGAAGAGATTGTAAAATATTTCCAATATGCAATAACACTGCCTTTAAACTCAATGTTGAACTGTCTATAAACAATCTCCATTCTTCTCGGTTATAGTTTATATTTAAAGCCGCCAGTAAGCCGATAATGTTACTGCAGAAAACCAAGTTATTCTCCATATTGAAAAATGGTTCTAAGTCTTTGTGGCGTTTACGAAAAACACATACCGAAACATCGTCTTCTAACAAGTTCCACTGCTGCAGTCTTGATCCAAGTAACTCTGCCTTACATTTTGGAAGTTCTAAATCTCTTACAAGATCATTTAATTCTGACTGTGTTATTTTGTGCGGTTGGTGGCATGACGTGGTCGGTATAACATCAGGATCTCTTGACGTTGATGGCATATCTTCTTCCTGACGAATCACTCGATCGCCATGATCTGATTCGTTTTCTGATTCGCAAGTGTAGGATTCTGGGGGTTTTGGAATAGGATTTTCGTCACTATGAGGCACAGGTCTCATCGCAGATGGTATGTTTGGGTAGTTAATAACCGATTTTTTTTTCTTGGACATACCTGTGGCTTGTCCAACACAAGGTACCATGCAAAAGTAACAATCATTAATATGATTTGTAGGCTCTCTCCAAACCACTGGGACAGCAAAGCGCATAGACCGTTTTTTGCCATTTAACCAGCTCCTCAGACTTGAAGCATATGTATTACAGCAGATGTGAGGTGCCCACTGTTTGTCTTGATCACCTAGTTTACAACCGAAATAAAGCTGATATGCCTTTGTTATTAGTGGAGTAATAGACCGTCTCTGAGACGCAAAAGTCACATCACCACACACGTAACAAAACTGATCTGGATAGTTTACACACTTTCGAGACATCTTGCATGAACGCTGTCAGCCAACTGAGGAAAAAATGGCTAATATAAAACAATATAATGTACACGTATGTATAACGTAACACAATCATGCCGATTACATCATCTTTCCTCGCCGAATATAAAAATGAAGCACGTGCATTCTTGTGAATTACAGTATATTAACACTGTCACAGCAGGAACACATATAATTACCGTATCTCTAAAACTTGAACTAATATTGAAAAAATAAGTTTCATTCCGGTTTTAGCACATTAAAAATAGTAATATTTTGTTGATTTTATTTAGGATATTTTTTGGCTGTTGATCAGTGTTATCAACGTTCTGTGGGAACACATATGCCACACGCTGTTGGAGTTATGGTAACGGCGGCTATTGCTTCTAGAATCGTGCCACCTTGTTGCCTTGGCCCCTAGATGTCCCGATCGTACACCCATGAAACACGTCTGGGACATTATGAGAGGAATATTACTATTCTTACCCCACCCTCCACAGACTTCAATGGCTGCAGCTAGCCTGGGATACGAAAGCTCAAGAGGAAATCGATCATCCGATTTGGAATATGAATGAATGAATCTTGAATTTTAGAGGCATCCCGGCCACCATAAGGCGCCAGTGCATAGGCCGCTTAAGCGGGCCCTTATGCACCTCTACAATACTTAAATCACAAGCCTCGCCCTTTTAGCGAAGTTGAGAATCGCCTTGAGTCCAAGCTCCTTTACGTCCTGAGGGTCCAAAGTAATGGACCCCAGTATAGTCTGCCTATAGTAGCTCAGAGCCTCTCAGCGACACAAAACGTGCGCCGAGGTCTCTTCCTCTACTCCGCAGCGTTCGCACAAGGGATCCTCAGCCACCCCTATCACGTGCAGGTGCCGCCTTAACGTGTTATGGCCAGACAACAGTCCCACCAGCAACCTTAGGTTGGCTCTACCCAAAGATAGGCAGAAGCGTCCATCCTTAGCACTGGGCCCTTCAATGAGCTCTCGTGCCTGGCGGAGATGTCTAGAGATACTTCTCCATTTCTGAGAGTGTTGTCTTGCAACCCACGTCTCCATTTTCCTCCTAGCTTTATGCGCGGTTACTCCTAGAGCTGGCTCAGGACCAACGAGCTTGCTGGCTGATCCTGTTTTCGCCAGAGTGTCCGCCGTCTCATTGCCCCTTATCCCAGCGTGCCCCGGTACCCATATTAACGATACCGGATGCCTCGCTGCGAGGCAATCCAGAGCCTCCCTGCATTGCAATACAAGACTCGAAGTAATCTTACATGCACTTAGTGCTTTCATTGCAGCCTGGCTGTCGGATAAGATTGCTATTCTTCTCCTAGGCCCACCCTCCTCCAGAATGTGAGATACACAAGCCAGAATCGCAAAGATTTCCGCCTGGAAAATGGTGGTGTACTCACCGAGAGGCAGAGATAGCCTAGTTCTAGGTCCAGAGAGCCGAGCACCTGAGCCCTCTTCGGTGACCGAGCCGTCCGTGTACCAAACCTGCCCGCTCACTTCGGAGAGTCCTCGGCTACCGGCGTCCCACTCCTCCCTCGTTGGGTACTCCACAATAAACTTGCGGTTGAAGCGATATTTAGGGGTAATACGATCACCCCTGCTTAGAAGGACGGGGTCCTCCCTTTCTAATTCGACTAAGATGGCAGTATGCCCCTTGACCGGATTCAAGAAAGCCCAGCTGCCCTGACTCCACAGTCGATGAGCGACTACTCTCGCTTCACCGCGGATCACCAGATCCAACGGTGGGAGATCCAACAGAGCTTCCATTGCACTCAATGGCGTTGTTCACACTGCGCTTGTAATGCTAATACAGGCCAAACGCTGAATTTTATTGAGTTGGGCCTTAGTTGACCCAGTTCTAATGCAAGGCCACCAGACCAGGGAGCCGTACAAGAGAGATGGACGTACTATCGTCGTGTAGAGCCAGTATACCACTTTGGGTTTAAGCCCCCACCTTACACCGACAACACGTCTACAAGCCCACATCGAATTGCGAGCCTTGCTAACCTTGTGTTCCACATGCTCCCTCCAGTTCAGTTTGCAGTCCAGGATAATTCCCAGATATTTCACTGACTGGGACAAAACTAATCTAGTCCCAAAGAAGGTCGGCATGACCAGTCCGTCAAGCCTTCTTCTCCTAGTGAATAGGATCAGCTCGGTTTTTTCAGCATTAACAGAAAGATCGACTTCCCTACACCACGATTCCACGGAGCGCAGAGCGCCCTGCATAATTTCCCAGACTGTTCTACAGAAACGCCCCCTAACCACTATGCTTACGTCATCAGCATAGGCTTGCGCGTAGACACCCATACTGCTGAGCCTAACGAGCAGTTCGTTCACCACGATACACCACAGTAGGGGTGACAGAGGGCAGCCTCTAGCTACGTTCACGCTGCAGCTTACATTATTCAGCA